TTTTCAATCTATATCAAAAGTATTAAAACTTTGTGTCTAAAACTTCAAATGTTTTGCTCTAAGGAAATAACTCAGAATTTTGAAAAAGATTAACTGAGATTAATTCATTGCAGTGTTATTTTAAATGGAAACTATGTGAAACCCTAACATTAAACAGATAATTGGTTAAAGAAATTATGATTCATGCATACACTAAAATATAATATAGCCATTAACAATAAAGTAGAAGCAACTGGGCTCAGTGGCTCATACCTGTAATCCGAGCACTGTGGGAGGCCGAGGGGGGTGGATCACCTGAGGTCAGGAGTTCAAGACCAGCCGTGCCAAAATGGTGAAACCCTCTCTCTACTAAAAATACAAAAATTTGCTGTGCATAGTGGCACGTGCCTGTAATCAGGAGGCTGAGGCAGGAGAATTACTTGAACCCGGAAGAGAGAGATTGCAGTGAGCTGAGATCACGCCATTGCACTCCAGCCTGGGTGACAGAGCAAGACTCCATCTCAAACAAACAAACAAACAAACAATAAAGTAAAAGAATAGCACGTAATGACTGGAAAGATAGTAGAGTAAAAAATTATAATCTAAATTGATAGCTTTATAGCTTATTTTTAAGGAAGAAAAGGGAGATACAAATGAATAAAATGAATATAATGTGCTGCATTATTTAATTATATTTGTGTAAATTAAGGTTTATTGTATATTATATATGTGTATATATAGTCTCTTTTTCTTGCTAATCAGTGTTTTCCACATTTTTCATAAAAAGCACTGCGATAGTCACATTATCCATTTCCCATTTATTGTCTTGCTAACAGAACTGTATTTTATCTGAGACGGCATTAGACCAGACCAAGGATAGGAATCATTTTTTGATCTCAGTCAATCACAACAAGCTTGCTTTCCATTTCCCCAACATCTCTTGCGTATGACCCATTCCTTCCTTTTCTCTCTTTCTTTCTCTCTCTCTTTCTCTTTCTTTCTTTCTTTCTTTCTTTCTTTCTTTCTTTCTTTCTTTCTTTCTTTCTCTCTCTCTCTCTCTCTCTCTCTCTCTCTCTCTCTGTCTTTCTTTCTTTCTTTCTTTCCTTCTGTCTCCTTAAACTATTAAGGGTTAAGGACCCATTTCTAATTAAAAAAATTCACGAAAAAGTCGACTGGGAGATGTACTGCTGGGAAAGTTTTGCTCTTCTGATAAAAGGGACTGATGTGACTGTGCCCGCCCCTTCCATTCTTCCTATCTGCAATGTGGATGCTATACTTGGAGCTATCAGCAGCCTTCTAGCAAACTCAAGGAGAAAGGCCATGAGCATCACTGCTGGCCTTGAAAGTTCTGAGCCTCTGAACCATCATCCCCAACTGCCTACCTTCAGACTTCTAGTTATATAGAGAAAACAAGTCCTCTAGGGATCTGTTACATAACACTGTGTCTGTAGTTAACAACAATACTATATTGTACACTTAATTTGTTAAGAGGGTAGATCTCAGGGTCAGTGTTCTTACTACAATTAAAAAAAGAAAAGAAAAGAAACACCTCTTTGTTTAAGATGTGGTTTTGTGTCACTTGCATCAATTGTGAGCCAATTTAAATGTGCAATACAAATATTTGGAACTAATTTTTAAAATTAAAAAGTGGAATAGAAGGTTGGAAAAAAAATCCATATCTTATCTGTATTTTTAAAAATATACATCTAACACATTGTGATACAAATCTAGTAAAAGTTATTCTAAAATTTACAATATTCTGGCACATATCTAATCACACAATGCTGGTCTCAAGAGACCTGGCAAGACTGGTATTGAATTTGTCATGTGATTCTAGGGAAGCATCTCTTCCTCCTAGAACTTGGCCTCCCAATCTGTGTGAATTCAATGAATCAGATGACTCTTGCTGACAACTCTGCCTAAGGAACTCAGTGCTTACCTCTGAATCTGACTTTCTCTTCCTTATGGACAATGACTTACTGACACTATACTCTGGAGAGGGAAACTGCTCAAGAGGTCAACAAAGACTACTTTCACATAAAGGGTACTGATATGGTTTCGCTGTGTCCCCACCCAAATCTCATGAACTATAGCTCCCATAACCCCCACATGTCAACCCCCTGTGTAAGAGTGGGTGAATCCTCCCACAAATCTCTCAACCACAGCCCAAATTCCATGACAAATTCTTTCTAGCACCTTCTTAAGTGAGACACCCCACGATTCCCCAATGTATGTGTTCTCCCTCGCTGCAACAAGTGATACAGCCAATTTGTTCAACTGTAAGTGGGTTCCTGGTGGTTTTTAGCTGGACCATTGATAGTAGTAGATATTCAAATCTTCTATTGCTATTATTAGAATTTTTTAAAAAGTATTATTGTTGTTGTTATTCATCAAGTAGGCCTAGCATATAAGGTGCATCTCTGAGGAAGTAGCTGAGATACCCATAAGAAAGCAGACTTGGAATAGGTTGCAAAAGGCCTTTTGCTTCATGGAACAGTGTGAGTTGATTCACTTACACACATATATACACACACATCTCCAAAGAGATGCTGACAAGTCTTTAGAAGGCTCCTTTGCAAAGGCAGAGAATGTGTCTGTCTTATTCACAGCTAAATCTATAGCACTCCAAAAGAAGGCAGATCAGGTCACATAGCCCCTACTCAATAATAAATTTTTGCTGAAAAACAAAATGAATTCAAGCCTTTTGGGAGACCTTAACAGTTTAATTTGAATAGTGATAGATCAGGCAGATAAATGTAGTTAACACATACAGAGTGCTTACTCCCTATCAGACGCTGCACTAAACATTTTACATGCTTTACCTTAGCTGCCTCTTATCCCAGTTCTAGGAAGTAGATACTATAATTAACCCAATTTTATGGAGGAGAAAACTGAGACACAAAGACATTTGGTGTCTCATTGGAGACCATGCAGCTAATCAGTGCTGGAGCTGGGATTTAAATACAGGCAGTCTGATCCTAGAGTCTGTGCTCTTAATCAATACACTACGCTGCCCGTAGTCCAGAGTAAAGATGTAAAGTGTACCGATATGGTTTAGCTGTGTCCCCACCCAAATCTCATGAACTGTAGCTCCCATAACCCCCACATGTCAAGGGTAGGGTCAGGTGGAGATAATTGAATCATACTGTGCTCATGGTAGTGAATAAATCTCATCAGATCTGATAGTTTTATAAATGGGAGTTCCCCTGCACAAGCTCTCTTGCCTGCCACCATGTAAGATATGACTTTGCTTCTCCTATGACTTCCACCATGATTGTGAGGCCTCCCCAGCCATGTGGAGCTGTGAATCCATTAAACCTCTTTCCTTTATGAATTACCCAGTCTCAGGTATGTCTTTATTAGCAGGGTGAGAGAAGACTAATACAGGTACTAATCTACAATTAACTTTGCAGGTGTACTTGTATTGTTTGTGCCCCAAAACACAGAATGCACATTTTGTTTCTACATTAAGTATGAGGGAAAATGCTCATGGAGAACTTTTTATTGGTCATATAAATAGAGCACAACATGGAAATGATGTAGATCATATAATTCACAGCAAAATAACATCAAACACCAAAAACAGTGAGGGAGAACACAGCATCAGGAATAAAAAGGGGATGTAGGAATAGATTTAAGGACATGAAAAATTATAAAGGAGCATAATTTGTAACATTATGCCAATACATTAAAATATGTAGATGAAATGAACTTTTTTCTAGGTAAATACAAATTACCCAAAATTGACTCAGGAGGGGTTAGATGATGAATATGCCAACAATCATCAATGAATTTGAGAAGATAATCAAAGATCTAGCCTTCTAAAATCCATCAAGTCCAGATGGTTTCATGGGCATGTTCTATGAAACTCTCAATGAACAGATAGTTAACTTGATGATTTGAATATTCCAGAGTGTAGGAAAAAACAGAATGCTTCCAAAATCATTCTACAAAGTTACCATAACCTTGCACCAAAGCTGAATGAGAACCCTTATCCCCTAAAAAGAAAAAAGAACACAATTTTTTTATTAATATAGATGAAATAAACCTTATATTAACATAAATAAATAATTCCAATCTAGCAGTGTATTTGTATAAAATAACATACATTAACCAAGTAGAGTTTGTTTTGAGAAATATAAAGTGTTATAAAGGTGGCATTGAAATCAGTGAGAGAAGAATGGACTTTTTGAATTGGTGTTGGGACAATTGGGTTTTCATTTTTGTCAGATCCTTACCTTACCCTGTTCACAAATACAATTTCCAGATGAAATGATAATCTAAACAACAGAGCTATACCTTGCTAGAACATTTAGGGAACTGTATTGTGATTCTGGTGTATGCAGCCTCCCTTGGCAAGATGGGAAATCTAGAAACCATGAATGATAAGACATGTATTTGAAACTGCTTTAGAGAGAAAAACTCCATAAACAGTAGTCAGTCATCATAAATATTGGGTACTAGGAAGGTACATTTCTCTAACTGATACTATAGACACTAAGTGATAAAGGCAACTTATGGAACAATATTTTTGCACTTAAAAGACAAAATTGATAATCCTCCAGCAAGCTTGATTGAAAAAAATGGGAATGGAGCAACAGAAAACACAAATAAACAACATCAGCAATAAGAAGAAGGCACAGAACAGTATCAGAGATGAAAATAAATAAAAGGTGACACTATTTGTAACTTTGTGCCAGAAAATTTGAAAATGCAGATGAGATGGACAATATCCTGGGAAAATATAAATTACTAAAAATGACTCAAGAAGTAGGGATTTAAAAAACATAGGGCAAATAGAACCCCTGTGTGCATATACGTGTATCTAGTCAAAAATGCTGGTTACCTCTGGGGAACTGATTACTGGGGAAGGACACTGCAGGGTGGGGGAGGAGGGGGCACTCACTTTCTATTTTTTTTTTGGAAAGCATTTTAGTTTTATTTTTTTTTGTAGAGACTTTTTTTTTTTTTTTTTTTTTTTTTTTTTTTTTGTAAGTCTCACTATGTTGCCCAGGCTGGTTTTGAACTCCTGGCCTCAAGCGGTCCTCCTGCCTTGGCCTCCCAAAGCACTGCGATTTACAAGCATGAGCCACTTACTTTCTAAATACAATGCCTTATGCTTTCAATCATATACAGTAACTATTAACTACTTTGTAAAAAGGAAACAAAGATTGTCAGCGAACGACTCCACGGGAAGCCCTGGGAATAGGTAGCGGGCAGGCAAAAGCATGGATTTGGAATGAAATCCAATGGCCATGGAACTAGCCCTGATCATCAGATTGCCCTCCAGTTTTGAGGATCACACCGGCACCCTCCTGTCTCCCTCTCTTTCCTACACTGTGGACAAACAGCCTTGAGATTCCAGGGCGTATGTGAAGGAAAGCCGAGGAGGGCAGGGCCGCAGAAAGAACAAAGGAGACACAAGTTCAAATCCCTGCCAGGGTCTGAGACCTGCAACGTCAGACTTTGGGAGCGTCGCTTCACTTCTCCGGACCCCAAGGGTGGCCGCGCCTGCTCCGCGCTCACCCTTGGGGAGTGTAGGAGCCCCCTGCTAAGTTGCTGAGCGAGTCGGAGCCCCAAGAGCTAGGGTCGAGGGGGTGGGGCGGCAGGCGCCTCTGCCGAGGTTGCAGGTAGGCACTTCCCCACCCCCGCGGCCCCCTCCTTCCTCCTTCCTCGCAGCTCGCACACCCACACAACCCTCGCCCGTCTCGGCTGGAGAGCTGCTTTCGGCGCCAGCGGGCAGCAGCGCGTCGTCAGCCAGCACAGCCGGCCGAAGACCAAGCTGGAGGGCTGGGGCTGCGCAGAGACCTGCACACCCGCAGCGCGGAACCGGGGGCGATTCCTATCTTTCTTTCATGCTTCTTTCTTTTTCTTAAAACCAGACCAAACCAAACTCAAAACTCCCCTGTTCACACCGCAACTTGGAGGAAAGGTGGAATGATTTGAAGGAACTGACGCAGAGGTTTTATTCATGAATCTTGAAGAAGTTCTGGGCAAGTGACTCAACAGGACCCTTGGGGCCCGGAGTAGCCCCAGCTCCCGGCGCTGGTTCAGTCTGGCAGTGCCCTCTGCCAGCCAACCCGCAGCTGCAGGTAGGGGTGCGAGACGCCCCCTGATTTTGCTTTGGGAATAATAATGACACTACCCATAGCTTGGACCCAGGTGGCCTCGCTCGGCGATTGTCCCCACCAGGTAAGCCCACCCCCCAGGGGTCTGCATTGGTCACCCGGGTGGGGACCTCGAGCTCCCAAGAAGTCAGTCCATGCTGTTTAGCCACAGGCAGGAGTGGGGAACTGGTAGGACAGAGCTTGCTTTTATCACAGGAAATTGTGGGAGACGGGAATGGAAGGCGGATTTAACATTTTTTATTTTTGCATTGACGCGTGGGGATGAGATGCGTAGGGGCCTGGATTCTTGTAGGAAATGGTTGCGGAGCGGGACTGGGCGATAGGTGTCTGGATTTTTGCAGGGACTGAATGGGGAGAAAGGTCGTTAATTTTTGCAGAAACCTGTGAGGAACTGGCGGTGAGAGGTTATGATCCTGAAAATGTGCACGAAATTATAAAAAGTAGGCATCTAGGCATTTCTGGGAAATGATGGGAGAAACACTTACCGCCCTGGTTTCACCTGACCCCCATGCTCGGCCTTCTGGAAGATGCCCACAGACACTGGCAATAATGGACGCCGGCACACTCTGCCGGCGCGGCCGGAGCCCCGGAGTTCAGTACCTCGGACAGAGCCCGCGCCCCACAGCCCAAGGCGCACAGTGAGCGCCGACAGCCAGGCTCCCTAGCCCCCGGCCACCGTTGCTCTTAGTTCAGGGCAGCTACGTAACACCGCCCCTAGCTCCGCGCCAGAAAGAGCTCTCGAATCGCAAAAGCAAACGTGTTCGATTTCTGATCTGCTCGTAACTGCTTCCCGTGACTGCAGAAGGAAGAGGCGGAGTGTAAAGATATCTCCCAAGCTTCCGCGAAAACTTCAGCCAAAAGGTGTGGCCTCCCTGGGTTTCGGAAATCTAGCATTTATTAAGCGCTTACCCTGTGCTAAGGCCCCGTGCTAAGCCAGTGCACCACAAATTTTTGTCCTATGAATATCCCCATTTTACAGATGAGAAAACTGAAGCAAGAGAGGCCGAGTAACTTGTCCAGGTTTATGGAACTATCAAATGGTATGGCTGCCAGATTGCAGTGGTGGGAAGATATACTAGAGTGGAATTGCCTGCGTGAAATAGTTCTGAACTTGGGGTTAGAGCAACAGAGTTTAAATCAAAGCCGTAGCACTTACAAACGTGTGCCCTTAGACAAAATTACTAAACGTGTCTGAACTTCAGATTTTAACTATCTGTAAATACTTGATAATGCTTTCCTTGCAGAAGTGTCAGGGGAGGGTGGCCAAGGAGATAATATGTGTGGAAAGACTGGAAACTGGGAATTGTGGTTGGGTGTTAGGGGCTGAAAGCAGGGAGCAGGTAATTAGAAGAGAAGGAGAGGCTGGGCGCGGTGGCTCAAGCCTGTAATCCCAGCACTTTGGGAGGCCGAGACGGGCGGATCATGAGGTCAGGAGATCGAGACCATCCTGGCTAACCCAGTGAAACCCCGTCTCTACTAAAAAATACAAAAAAAAAAAAAAAAAAGAACTAGCCGGGCGAGGTGGCGGGCGCCTGTAGTCCCAGCTACTCGGGAGGCTGAGGCAGGAGAATGGCGTAAACCCGGGAGGCGGAGCTTGCAGTGAGCTGAGATCCGGCCACTGCACTCCAGCCTGGGCGACAGAGCGAGACTCCGTCTCAAAAAAAAAAAAAAAAAAAAAAAAGAAGAAGAGAAGGAGAATCGGTGGTGAACACTTCCCTCAGCACACTCCAAGGGGGCTGGACACAGAGCGGGGCTCAGTGGGAGGAATTCTGGATGAGCTTAGTTCAGTGTGTAATAGCCTCTTAGATTTTTTTAACAGGACTTTATAGAGAGTGTGGACATATTGCCTATCATTTGATCCTTGTAACAATCTTGTTAAGTAGGCAGGACTGGGGTTATTCTACTCGTTTAGCAAAATGATGCTTGCCTGAAATTACTCAGGTACTTAGTAGCAGAGCTGGGATTAGAATACAGATCTCCCATCTCTCTAGCTTATAATCCTTCCACATGGACTGGCACATCCTCAGGAGCTTGGATTATGGGGCATTTACAGCACTAAAATGTATTTAGACAAGTACTATAAATACGTGACGTTGATGTTTTTTAAAACCATTTTGAAACAGCAGTTTCATATGGATCAACCTCATAAACATTTATTGATTATTGATTTTGTTCCACAAAGAATTTAAAGCAGTTTATAAGGCTCCACAAGATGTCAGGTTTACATATATTCGAAGTAGTCAAGAAAGCACAGGTGAAACAAGATTAAGGCTATAGCCACAGATAGAATGAATACAAATTATATATATTATAAAGTCCTAGAAACTTGCTCTGGTCTCTAAGTACTAGAAAGTGTATATCCAAGTCCTTTCTTGGAGGTCTAGGAACTTTGAAGATGTCTGCAAAAGTCTGTGGACTCTTGTTTTTTGTATAATTTCATCCCTTACCCTCTGTGAGATCTTCACTGTGCCAAACAAGGGATGTTTGACTGGAAATACAATGTCAGTGTGACTCGAAGAAGGGGAATAAAGTGTATGACATTGTATCTGCACTCAGGTAATTAAGTGTTAGTTACATAATTTCTAATGGTTCACATGAGCACACTATACTTTAAAGTTTATATAAAGGTTTACATCCATTAGCTTATTTAGGCCTTCTAACAACTCGGAAGAGATAAGCAGCCATGAAGTGACAGGAAGGACAAAATGCTAGCATCATGATTTTATATACTATGTATTTTACTTTCATACACAAACCGGCATCCCTACACAGGCATGTTAAGTAACCTGAATGTTTGAATCGGGCCAACTGTAAGACTACGGAGAATGACAGAGCCTTTTCAAACTGAGCAGTGAATAATCCATCTTAAAACATTCAAAGAAAATTTAAAACACAGTGCCAGCCAAGCAAGACATGACTGTGGGCTACACTGGCCATCAGACCTTTAATATGTAATCTTGGTTTAAACTACTCAGGCCAAGGATGTGAGACAGCATGGGAGTGAAAGACCCTGGATTCAGAGAGAGAAAAGTTTCAATCCCTGTATTTAAGTTTCCTGTTTCTAAACAAGGAAGATTGAACAAGATGGCTCCTCTCAGCTTAAAAAATATAAGACATCTTTAGTTTTGGGGACAATAAAATAATCAAAGGACTTCAGGACAAAAATAGCAAACATTTACATCTACTTATTGCCTCCATGAAAGAGGCATCATTTTAATTTTTGACACTGGTCATATTTTAATCTTCAGTATTTCCTCTCCAGCCCCTGTGCCATTGGAAAATACATTGGCCATCATTATAATGGAAATGCGTCCAACAGAAAACAGCCCAGAGAGGTGAAAGTTATGGCAGGGGTGGAGTGGGGGTGGAGGGTTGGCAGGTAGAGACAAGGAGGACAGCAAGGGAGGAACCAGGCAAACTTTGCTCACTTCTCAGTTTACTCTTCTTATGATACACATGAAAAAAACCCACATTATGGTTGCTAATTTTTTAAGACAAAAATATTCTGCCCAGAGAAGCCAAAGTGGATGGGATTTCAACATTTTCTAGGAATGCATCAGCTTTTTTCAATCCAGATTGTTTCTTTTCTCTCCAATAAGCTTAGAGATCCTGTAAATCACTTAATAGTTCTAGTATTCCAATTGAACAATGAGATCACTTGGACACAGGAAGGGGATCATCACACACCGGGTCCTATTTGGGGGGGGGCGGGGAATAGCAATAGGAAATATACCTAATGTAAATGATGAGTTAATGGGTGCAGCACACCAACATGGCACATGTATACATATGTAACAAACCTGCACGTTGTGTACATGTACCCTAGAACTTAAAGTATAATTTAAAAAGTTCTAGTATTCCATGTTTTTAATATTTATTCACTGTGATGCATAATAGTAGATAAATTTTCAAATTAAGGTAAATTAGATTTTGGTTGACACTTTTGTCAAATGGACCGCTATTCAGTTCTACCTTTCAAACATCTCTCCAGCTTGAGTCTTTCTCTATCTCCCAGCTGTGCTGTTTCTGATCCTCTTCATCTCTCAGAGGCTCCTAGGCGACCCCCAAGCCTCCCAATCCATCTCCCACACTGTGGCCAATGATCATGTCATTCTCTTCCTTAAAATTCTTTAGTGGTTCCCTATTTCCACATAACAAACATCAAACTGCAGGACAAGGCTACAAGGAACTTGGAATCTGATTTCTGCAGACCTCCCCATATTTGCTTGCTCCGTCAGTGCACTTCCCAACCACCACCATGCACTAACCATCAAGTTCTTGAAATGTCCATGTTCTGTTACCTTTTGCCTTTGAACTTGTACTTACTCCTGAGTGTAAGGACTTCCCCCTTTTGGTTCAACAAATTTCCACTCATGTTTTTCAAGTCCTGGCTCAGTTTTATTCTCTTTGTAAGCCCTATCCTAATCTGCACCCCGAGACCCTCCTGGTACTCACATCTCCTTATTTTATATTTGTCTTCCATTCCGGGACTTATTAATTACTTTGCACTACAATTATGTCATGTAGAGGCTAAGAATGTGGACTTTGGGGTTAGACTGCCTGGATCTGAATTCCAGCTCCACAACATATTGCCTGGGTGATTTGAGGTAAGTGACTTTACCTTCCTAAGACTCAGTTTCATTTTTCATAAAATGGGGATAATAATAGTACCCACCTCATAGTATTACTGTAAAGATTAAATGACACAATGCATATAAAGTGTTCAGCACATTGCTTGGCACATGGCAAGCATACATAAATGTTTATTACTGTCATTAAAATATACATCCACCTTCCTTCTAAATTGTAAATTACTTGGCAGCCATTCCTGAATTTTATACCTCTTTATCCTTAACACCTAGCCTGGAGTAGGTAATCGATACATGTTTGATCATGAATGAATGAGCAAGTAGATAGTTGATATATGTTTGATCATGAATGAATGAATGAGCAAGTAATGCCAGTGTTTTAGTAAAGGTTTACTTGCTTATAAGTAACAGAAGTTAATTCAAGCTACCATAAACAAAAACATGCTGACTTATTGGAAGTCTTCCAAGGTGTTCATGGACTCCAAAGACAGTTGAAACTTCAGAGGATAGAGGAAAAGTACTCTCTCCCTGCCTCTCATCTCAGCGTCTCAGTGTGGTTACTTCATTCTTCTTCCTCTGCACGTCACCTTTTCTGCTTCTCTGCCCTTGTGGCTAACCCACAAATGCAACTCTTACAACCAGAGTTCTCTACAAACAGCCCAGCATAACTGGTGTTTCTCAGTCTCAATTTCAAAATCCACCCAAGGTTGAGTCAGCCCTGCACATGGGGCAGGTCAAATAATATAAACCATCAGCCTCACTCTGTGTGCAGGGGAAGGCAGGGATAATATCAGAAAGAAAGAGTCACTGTAGCTTGTGAGAGTCAGAGTCATTCATTGATTCCTGAATGACCATGGGCAAGTCACTTCTTCACTCTTGACTTCAGTTTCCTCATCTGTGAAATGGTAGAAAAACCTTCCTGACAGGGCATTTCATGGTTCATGGGAGGCAGTTAACATCAGTCTGGAGCAAAAACATACGTATTAACAGTTTATTGGGCTATAAACCCTGGGGAGTAGGAATGAAGGAAAATGAAAAGTGACGCAAGGGAGGAGAAAGAGCAAATACAAGGGAATACATTATTGAGCTAGCCACAGATTCATGGCAAATGCGCTGATTATTCTGTCTTATGGAAATTGTATAATCTATTGCATCTTGGAAAAGGCAATTGGGTGAGAAGAGGGAGAAGCGTTTACGTAACAACTCTTTCCCATCCTCTATTTTCTGTTGGTCAACATCTGTTCTACAAAGGGTTACTCCCTCATACTTATTGGTTGAGTAACCTGGTTTTTCCAGGCAACTGCTGGAGAAAGTCAGGACAGGGTCAGTTTCTTCTGGTCAGCAGAAACCAGGTGTGGGGGTTCACCATTTGTAGCAGACAACAGCAGCAGTGACCTGACACTAAGACTGTGGGAAAGGTTTGAACTTTGCTAAGACCACTCAGGCAAGAAAGCAAGGTGAGTGTGTAACACACAGAGGCAGGGAAAGTAGGCATGGCTATGCATATCTGGCATGATGCATGAATTCAGTCTGCCATAATTTGTAAGGCTATTGTCAACTGAGGCCATGTAAATAGCAGTCTTTTAAGCCCAGTATTCTTTTTGTTTTGTTTTGTTTTTGAGATGGAGTTCCTCTCTTGTTGCCCAGGCTGGAGTGCAATGGCATGATCTCGGATAACTGCAACCTCTGCCTCCCGGGTTCAAGTGATTCTCCTGCCTCAGTCTTCAAAGTAGCTGGGATTGCAAGCGTGCGCCACCACACCCGGCTAATTTTTGTATTTTTGGTAGAGATGGGGTTTCACCACATTGGCCAGCTGGTCTCAAACTCCTGACCTCAGGTGATCCACCCGCCTTGGCCTCCCAACACGCTGGGATTACAGGCATGAGCCACCGTGCCTGGCCAACCCCAGTATTCTTAAAATGAAAAGTGTACAATTATTGCAGCATGCTAACAGTTAACGTTAGCCTGGCACATTTTATCTGGCACAAGAGTGAGGTAAGCACCTGATTCTGTCCTCAGACAAAGCTCTTGCATTTCATCATTTAAGGAATTTCAGATGGGAGGCCCACAGTGAAAAAAATGACAACTTGCAAAAGAACTCACTGACCACACAGAATGTTATGCCTATTGGTGGGCTAGATATAAATATTCCAGACCACAGAAAAGAACCTGGATGCCTTATCTGCAACCTGATGCCTCCTTAGGTGCTGAAAGGGAAGAGTTAAAATAGGGACAAGACCTGAGCATAGGGGATTGCTGATTCCAACTGAAGAGAGAGAAGGATTCTCCTACATACACCATCTTTCCTCCATTTCTTTCTTCTTTGCCTCCTTTCCTGCCTCTCTTCCTCCCTCTCTTGACTCTGAGCTAGACTAGAGGTAAGTGATTTGCACCGCACGTAACATAAAAGGTAACACAATTATCCGTCTTCCTTCCCACTTTCCTTTCCTTCTTTTTCTCCTTTCTTCCATCTTTTCCTTTATCCTACTTTCTAATTATCACACAGCTGAGAAGGGAGAAAAGACAGTATTTCTAGTTTGAGGGGTGCAGGGCTCTGTGGAGGGGGCTGACCCAGGTGATTAACAAGACTGATACTCAAAGAAAGTTGCAAAGAATTAAGGAACATAGGTGATGTGGCATCTAGTTTTGTATATGTATGTGTGTGTTTTTGTATGTATGTGTGTGTGCATGCACGTGTGCAAGAGAAAAAGAGAGAGAGCATATACAAATATGGTGTATAGTATTCCAGAGCATGAAGATATTACATTTTCTTTATCTATTTTCCTCCTCCTCCTCCTCCTCCTCCTCCTTCTTCCTCTTCCTCTTCTTCTCCTCCTTCCCCTCCTTCCCCTCCTTCCCCCCCTTCCCCTCCCTCCCCTCCTTCCCCTCCTTCCCCTTCCTCCCCTCCTTCTCCTTCTCCTTCTTCTTGAGATGGAGTCTCACTCTGTCACCCAGGCTGGAGTGCAGTGGTGTGATCATAGCTCACTGCAGTCTCGAACTCCTGGGCTCCAGTGATCCACCTGCCTCAGCCTCCTCAGAAGCTAGGCCTATATGTGCAAGCCACGACACTAATTTTTTTTTTTTTTTTTTTTTTTGGTAGAAGCAGAGTGTCACTATGTTGCCTCAGCTGGTTTCAACCTCCTGGTCTCAAGTGATCCTCCTTGGCTTCCCAAATTGCTGGGATTACACTTGTGAGCCATCATGCCCAGCTTATTTTCTTCTTGATGGGTTGTTTCCAGTTTTTGTCTTTTATGAATAGGGCTGCTGATCGTCTTTTGGTACACATACTAGTTTATTCTCTAATATTGCTACGCTTGGCCCAGGCTCTGGGTGTTTCTTCCACTGGTCTCACCTGGGTTCTCTAATGCAGTTGCAATCCTCTAGGGGCTGTCTGGGACTGGCTGGGCTGAGATTGTCTCACTCACATTCTTGCAGTTAGTTGGGGCTACCAGCTAAAACTTCATGTATCCTTCCTGGTAGGTATTCCAGACTTCTTTACACAGCAGCTGAGTTCCAAGACAGCAAACTTGGAAGCTGTAAGGCCTACTCAGGCTTTGCCTTGGAAGTCACACAGTTACATTTTATGGCTGAAAGCGAGACACAAGGCTGACTCCTAGTGTACACATGAGGATGGGAGGACCTCATGGCCATTGTTTGCAAACTACCACAGGTGTAAACCTAGGCATGGAATTACTGTGTCCGAGTGTGGGCTTTGGTTCAGTCTAGTTCAATTTATTTATACTACCAACAGGTTCCTGTTGCTTCCTGTCTGCATGCCTCTTGGTATTGTCAGTCTGTCTAATTTTAGCCATTCTAAAATGGTATTTTGTTTTACTTTAATTTGATTTTCCTTGAGTACTAATGAGGCTGGGTATCTTTTTATGTGCTTATTGGTCATTTGTGTATCCTCTTTTGGAGGAAGTGATTTGTAGGAGTTCTTTATATAGTCTGATGATGAGTCACTGTAATTTCACTCAACCCTCCCTCTTTGATCTTGAGTGATTTTCCTCTTGAGTACAAAGGAAGTAACATTTGAGCTGAAGTTTGGGGGATGATGAATAGTTAAAGAAGAGCAGGGAGGCCTTATAGTTAGAAACATGAACAGTGCCAAGAGGAAAAACACATGAAGAATGGTGCATTTGAGAAATGAGATTTGAAGATAGAATGTGAAGAAGACTGGAGTGGCAGGGAATGATTCTAGAGAGGTAGACTGAGGCCAGGAGAAAAAGGACCCCTTTGATGAAATGGAAAGCAGCACGCTTTCTCTGGACATTCCACTCATTTATCTAGTCTTTGGAAATTCTGTTTCAAATCTCCAGGGTTCAGAGACTGAAAAGCTTATTGATGCACACGGCTTTAACACAGCAATGGTGTGTAGGACCACAGAGGAGTAAAAATAATTAAAATTGATAGAAAGAGAGGAGAGAGAAAGACCATCACACACACACACCACACACACACACACACACACACACACAGATCAGTAGGAGAATGAAGAAGACAGAAAGGAGATGGAGAGACAGAAATGGAGACTTGTTGTCAATGTATTTAATAACCACACAGTGCCCTCGAATGGTGGTTGTTTTGCAGGAAATCTAGCAGAACACATAAACACAACAACATCAGACTCATGTAGTTATCAGAACAATGCATTTGAAGAAGCAGAAAGATACACACTAGACTCTTAGCCATGGTTACTTCTGAAGAGGAGAGTGTTTTCAAGGAGGAGTGGGGGATGAACAAAGAAGACCTCTTCCTCTTTATATACTTACATGTAGTTTGTTTGTTTTATTTTAATAGCAAGTATCTATTCACATATTAAATTTTTCAAAGGCATATATATCCATCTCTCAACTTCAACCAAGAAAAGCTTTTGCCTTCCAACTTAATAGAGTAATATAAATAAATAAATAAGTGATTAGGCGAATAGCGTAAGAGAAAGAATGATGTGAATCAGATGAGGAGGAAACTCAGGCATTGTGGCAGGTAGACCACATGAGCCATCTGCTCATTAGGGGCCTGGAGGCACAAAAAGCCTATGTGAAGGTGCTGTACTGGCAGACACATGGCCAGTGTGGTACCCGTGGGCTGGCAGAGCATCAAGACTGGGATACCTACCTCTACTTATTTGTGAAGGGCCCCTCAAGCAACACATAGGTTGAAGATTTTGAGCCCAGGAATTAGGGAACTGACAAAAAAATCAAAATAGAAAACTCAGGTTTGACAAACCTCAGCTGAGAAAACTTTGGTCTGAGCTTTATTTCCTAACATTTGTGAGCAAAAATGCAATCCCCTTCTCCATTCTCTGCCTCCTATCAGTTCAACCAGAGGGAAGGGAATAGCATGGCATTATTCTGAATAAGAATATGAATTCTGACATCTGCTGGAAAAGTGAGGACTACAACCTGGAAAGGGATAACTAGATTGATTTTGTTTTACAATTGTTTTCACTGTCCCTACCCCATCAACCCCCATTACAATAATCACACATATTTATTTTGGGAAAACTGCAAAAAGAAGAATATGAAACCACTCATAATCCCACTGCCTAGAATAAGGATGAACATTTTGGTGTGTTTCCTAATAGTCTTTTTGATGCACACCAATAACAACACATGAAACAATTATTTATGAGGCGACCTGTTCATTACATGTGAGTCATTGCTAAATGCTGAGGACACAGCAGTGAAGAAAATAATTCAAACCTTTTTCTAAGGAATGTAGAGTTCTACATTTGTGGTAAGTGCTGTGCAGTCAACACAATAACATCTTGCATTTAAACAAATATTTACTCTATGCTAGGCATTACGTTAACTGCTTTTCATATGGATGTTTTATACATACTCTCTTGGGCAGTCTTTACAATGACCCTATGAGGTAGGTTACTACTATCCCCCCTCCCCCCATGACACATTATTACAGACGCAGAAATTAACTCAGCAATGTTAGATAAGTTGGCCAAGTCAATATAAGTTGGGATCAGGTTGGGATATGACTGTACCTAGACCCTGTAACAAGCATGCTGCACAGATCTGCTATAAAATATATAACATTTTTTCCCCCTTCTTCCTTTGCTAGGTTTGATTGCTACTGTGGCATAGGTACTCTAAACTGTAGCCAATATGATGGATGATGACACTGAATTAAGGACTGATGGAAACTCTTTGTTAAAGGCTGTGTGGCTGGGGAGGCTCAGGTTGACCAGACTGCTGTTGGAAGGGGGAGCTTATATCAATGAAAGCAATGACAAAGGCGAAACAGCTCTCATGGTGGCATGCATCACCAAGCATGTGGACCAGCAAAGCATCAGCAAGTCCAAGATGGTGAAGTACCTGCTGGACAACAGGGCAGACCCCAATATCCAAGATAAGTCTGGCAAGACTGCCCTCATCCATGCCTGTATCAGAAGAGCCGGGGGAGAAGTGGTCTCCTTATTACTGGAGAATGGAGCAGACCCCAGCCTTGAGGATCGCACTGGGGCTTCGGCTCTGGTTTATGCAATAAATGCAGATGACAAGGATGCATTGAAACATCTCCTTGATGCCTGCAAAGCCAAAGGGAAGGAGGTGATTATTATAACAACAGATAAATCGTCTTCAGGCACCAAAACTACCAAACAGTATCTTAATGTCCCTCCTTCACCCAAAGTAGAAGACAGGCATTCACCTCCACTGTATGCATCTCCCTCTGACATAGAGCTGAAGTCTCCAGGCCTGGACTCTCCACTTACTGAGAAGGAAGATAACTTCTTCAGCCTCCAAGCAGGGCATCCAAGCAGTTGTAACACTTCCAAGGCTGTTAATGAGCCTGGGTCACCCACTAGGAAAGTCAGTAATCTCAAAAGGGCCCGTTTGCCCCAACTGAAGAGGCTCCAGTCTGAACCTTGGGGCCTGATCGCGCCCTCGGTGCTGGCAGCCTCAACGCGTCAGGATGAGACCCGTGGTGCCAGCACAGAAAACGAGGTCATCAAGAGCATCAGTGATGTGTCCTTCCCTAAAAGGGGGCCCCTCTCCAGAACCACCAGTATCGATAGCAAAGACCCCACTCTCTTTCACACAGTCACAGAGCAGGTTCTGAAGATTCCAGTCTCTTCAGCACCAGCATCCTGGAAAGCAGCCTATGAAAAAGGTCAGACTCCCCACCCGCGTCTGTCCAGGAGAGGAACTCTGCCTGTTGACCAAGAGAAATGTGGTATGGGTCCATCAGGACCTTCTGCTCTCAAAGAGCCAGCATCCCTCAAATGGCTGGAAAATGACCTCTACGACTTAGATTTACAGCCAGGGCCTGACCCTCCCAACTCCATTTCCCTTGAATCTGGCAAAGGACCTTTAGATAGAAAGAAGCTCAACAGCTCTCATTTGTCTCTTTTCCACGGCTCTCGGGAGTCCCTGGACACTGTACCTAGCACATCCCCCAGCTCAGCACGCCGCAGGCCGCCACATCTTCTAGAACGACGAGGTTCTGGAACTCTGCTCCTTGATCGCATTTCTCACACTAGGCCTGGCTTCCTGCCGCCTTTAAATGTGAATCTGAACCCACCTATTCCGGATATTAGATCTAGCAGCAAACCTTCTTCCCCTCTTACTAGTGGCTTAAAATCTATAGTTCCTGTTGCTCCAAGTTCACCAAAGAGAGTTGACTTAAGAAGTAAAAAGAAGCTCCTCAGAAGGCATTCTATGCAAATCGAACAAATGAAGCAGCTGTCTGATTTTGAAGAAATCATGACCTAGAAGCTTTAGAAAGGCTTAAAATAATCAATATAGTTTATGGAAGGGACTATGGATGAGACTGCTTCCTGATCATTCCTTAATGTTGAAGTGTGGCCACTTCAGAAGATATAAAAGCAGAATGCTGCTTCACTTCTGAGAATAATCCCTGGGTTTTTAAAGGCCTACTTGAAAAGAACTCATGATAATTGGGTTTTAAAGATAAATTTTTAAAAATTCTGCAAAGGAAGAAAGCCTTTGGAGTTCAGCAGTAACACAGCAAGTACAATGATCTAAGCTGAGGACATCAGTAATTTTCTATCAGACAAACAGAAAACAAGAATTTAAATCAGGAGGTAGTATTTGGAGTATGTCATTTGTAATAAACCTATAAAGTGCCTACATAGAAAATGAGGCTTTAACATTTGTTAGAATGTACAAAAGCCCCAAACCAATCCCTCAGTGACTAAATCTGGGTGTCTGGGTTCTATCTGATGGAGTAGAAGCAGAATTCCCCCATGGAAGAGGCTCTGGCCTGTGGGTCCTGGCTCTGACTCTGTCAGGGCACTGTAATTCGTGGTGTGGTTGAACTCATTCAGCAATCCAGTAATACATTTTGTTCACATACTAATTTGTATGTGCTCTGAGTACCCAAATATCCCATCTATGTGGCCCCTGAATTATGATATGTCACGGTAGCTTATGCCTTAGAGACAAATCTTGCTCCAGAAATGAAACTTTTCCAAGACCCCTCCCCTGACACAGGCTCTTGTGTTGAAATCTTGTGAAAAACAGTCAAGGTTAACTAACTTGGAGTTGAATGTGATACAATTATAGATTACAGATATAAGGAGCATTTCCATATTATTCTTAAAACTCAACGAGATCTACCCAAACCAGAATGATAACTGAGGAGGGGTTGTGCATAGATTAAACGGTAAAGTGGGTGGTTCTCAAGTGAGAAGCAGTGAGGACAATTCACTTTGCAGCCTAAAAATTTTAGGGGATGCAAACTATCATTTCCCCCTCAGTCATCTAGATAATTGAAGAAAAATGTGGTTTCTTCTCTTTCTGAACTATCTAGGTGAGAGGAGATTTGTAGAAATAACGTGCACAACCCTTTTACGCTGCTTTGAGCAAACCCAAGAAGGAAAGCAGAGACTTAGCACGTTTGGTATAATGTAGCCATATCTTAGATGAATATATTTTTGGTTACTTCCATTTATGTTTCCTCTTGTGCTGCTGAGATCTATTTGCCCTATGGTTAAAAAGTTCAATAGTTCCTGAGGACAGCATCATGTAGAGGAAAGAGTAAGGGCTTTGAGTTTGACATATTTGGGTTTGCATACCAGTCTGATCATTTACCAGCTGTGTGACCTTGAGCAGGCAGCTTAACTTCTCTGCATCTCTGTCCCCTCATCTGTAAAACAGGATTACTAATGCTGCACCTTATAAGGTTGTGGTGAAAATTAAATGACACAATGTATGAAAGTGCCTGCCATTGTGCCTGGCACAGGTAGAAGTCACTGAAAAAGAAGTAGCTAATTTTAATGTATTTCTTGAGACTGCTGAAGCAATATCTCAAATAATACACATGCTACACAAAATGGAATAAAGTTTCTCTAGAAAAGTTCAAGTATCTCCATGAGATCCCCAGTTATTTTTATAAGTACTGATCTCTAAACTCATGTGTAAAGTAAAAAATTCTGCCACATAAACTCTACATATTATACAATTTTTCTATAACTACGTTTGCTAGAAATCTATCTGAATATTCCAAACAAAAGTGTTAATGATGGTTGAACAAAACAAACTTGGAGTTGTTTGGAGAGCTATCTGTGCTGTGTGTCGTAGGATGTTTAGCAGCATCTCTGGCCTCCACTCACTAGATAGCAGTAACACCCTCTCCCCAGTTGTGACAACCAAAAATGTCTCTAGACAAGGCCAGATGTCTCCTGGGTGCATCACCTCCGTTGATCTCCACTGCTAGACCTATTGTATACGTCAAGAACAACAAAGCTGTATGGAAATGTGAGTGCTGACTGGCCAGCTAAGCTCTCCTGTTAACTTAAGACAATTCAAATTGTGCTTTAGTCAGATGACTAATGAATACTAGTGTTGGGCCTTCAGGATTCTTGGTCAACACACTCCAACATGAGTGCTAATGGTCTCATACTTTGTAGGAAGGGAAGAAAATAAGAAAAGCACAAAAATTAGCAAAAATCTATAGCTCATGAACGTGGTTTAGTGTGGACAACTCTGTTATTTTCAGAACCATTTAATCATTAATAGTTCTTACCAAGCAGAAGCTATGCCGGGCAAAGAAACAACGTTCCAGTGCATTAAAAAGAGAATCATATGACAACCATCATTCTCAGCAGCTCATTAAATGCAAATACACACATGCACACACACAGAGAACACATTTTCCATACTTTTCCAGCTGTTGTTAGTGTCAGTTAAAACTGACCTCTGGTGGTAGTATCCAGCTGTGAGTTTAGCAAGACACTCCATCGCAGCGATTTTTTTTCTAAACCTTTAGCTAAGATTTGGAAACCCAATATTTCCTAAGTAGTGAATGTGGTCCATTTATAGTAATTAGCTTAGGTGAAACACCAAATATGATGAGTTGCTCATTCAGGATAGCCAGTCCATTGCACAAATGTGTAATATCAGGTACTCTCATGCCACTCATTGCCTGCATCAGTCAGTCATGACCTTTGCATCAGCCTTTCAATAGACAGTCATCAGGATAGTATCTTATCTCATCACTACTTGACGATGAGTTAGCTGAATTAGACTGTTCTATACCAGTACAACAACCAAAATACTTTCTCATAGATTATGCATACATATGCAATTTTGTCCACGTCAATGAACCTCATAAGAATGCTTTTTAAAAGTATATTTTAGATTCAAACATGCTTTCTAGATCTAGAGGTTAGCTTGTCGTTTTGAAATCCTGGAGTCACTTACAAGTTAGCTGCAAACTATAGTTTCAGTAATTCAACTGCTTAAGCGTTTCTGGACTGTTTATCAAAATATATTACAGAATGTGAGACTAAAGTTTAAAGTCTGGACCTTTGGTTTAATTTCTAGACATTCCAAAGCTTTTTTTTTTCTTTTTAAAAAACCCATTGTCAACTCTCTTAGAACTTCATCAAGTAGATGGCACCTTGCAAATGTAGGTTGTGTCTGACCTTCCTCCTTTTTCTGTGTTGGTGCCTCCGATGTATCATGTGCTGCTTGAACTGATTCTCTACAGTGTTCAATCCTAGTCTCAAGCTGATGATGTGCTCAGAGATGTATCAAAATCCATGTAATGACACCATTTAGATGTTTCTAATATGTCAATAAATTATATATTGCAATCCTTCAATAGTATTTTCCACTTTTTCTCAGTGCAATCTCAAGTATTACCTTTTCCTTAAGATGAATTGACATGACTGCCTAGTAACATCAACCAAACACCCAATATTTTATGAACACATAATTTACAAAATTAGATTTTAATCAGACAAGTATTATGGTATCTCTCCTGGTTAAAAAAAGCACAGCCCAATGAATGAGAAGGTGCATTGCCACTCTGAGGGGTGAGTTTCTTTACTTGGCCCCTGATGCTTAACCCCCCAGGGCTGCACCTGCCATCTGCTAGTGGCAGGGACTTACCATCAGTGGATATCCCTCCTTGGGCCCTATTTCTAATGTTCATAAGTGTTAATGTAAGCTGATTTCCATGAGCTCTTATTCAAGTGCAGGACAGCAAGTATAAAGTGAATTAGCTTGACGGTCTCTGTGGTCTCTTAAATTTTTGTACTCTGTACTTCAAATTTTATTCAGACTCGCTGATTCTCTGGACTGTTCCAATCCAGAACAGGTACTCTGCAGATTACCCTTAGGTTATCTCCTAGACTACTGAAATAAACTCAGTTAAGTAAAAAAAAGGACTAGTTTTAGGACGTTTGTTCCCCCACTTCTAACTTTAGGAAAGAGGCCCATATTGTTTCCAGATCCTTTGAGGAGAGATTATGAGGTACAGTCTAATTCAGATTACGCCCAAGATTGAATGCACTCCCTCCTCTAAGGTCAGCCACTTTGACCTTGTCACTCATTGTTTCTCAAGTATCTCCTTGAGATCCCCAGTTATTTTTATAAATATTGATCTCTAAACTCATTTGTAAAGTAAAAATTTCTGTGACATAAGCTATACATATTATACCTTTTCTATAATTACAATTGCTAGAAATTTATCTGAATATTCTAAACAAAAGTGTGAATGATGATCAAATAAACCAAATTTGGAGTTGTTTGGAGGGCTGTTTAAAGGCTTAGAAGTTTGGGGTTCCTTGAGTGGAACTTGCTCCTTTTCAGAGGAAAACCTTAGAGAGGAGTGGCATATGGTGCATCTTGGTAGGCAGGGCTGCGTTAAGCATGGCAGGAAGGCTTCTGAGTCACCTGCCTTGAAGAAACCCTGCTGCTTAGACAATGAACACATCAGCATGGTTATTAATGAGCATGAAGATCAATGGGCTCCCTGAACTTGAATGCTATGAGCTGTTGAAGACTTCCACAGAACAGAGCGGGGAGAGGTCCACGATGACTGAGATGACTTTCTTGTCATCTTTGTTAGAAGGAGATGAACCTAGGATCAATTTTACTTTTACTAAGGAAAATTAAAAAAAATGGGTATTTCTACACCCAAAGGTAATACAGAGAAATTCATAGCACTCTGTGTCCTCTAGTCTGAGTTACAAAATGGCATGCATATAGTGGGAAGGACAGGATCTGCATCACACAATTTGCCTGGCGATGAATGCTAAAAATAGGGAATGGGCCTCAGGAAATCAAAAGAGGCCAGTGTTTTATACCTATAACAATATCTGATTACAGCAACACAGGAAAAGAGTCTGACAATTCTCACCAAGACTCCTAAACTAAAAGCAATTCTGTGGTCCATTCTAGCAGAGATTGTGAAAGAGTCCCTTTTGAAATCATAGTATGAAAATCTAGTGGTCCTCAATGAAGGAAAAGATAATCCTTATGCATAAGGATTGGAGGAAAGTGAAAGAGAAGGGAAAGAGGTAATTAAAAGATAGAAGAGGTTGAAGTCCTGACAATGTGAACCTATCCAAATATCAGCCTGATGAAATAAGACCACTTGGATCTCCCTTCTAGAGCCATCTGTCTCCTCTGGCAGCATCACAGACACTCCTGGTCTTACACACAAAGGATGCCTGAAAGTTAAGGGTCCAAGTTAATTTTTCTTACGCTATTGCAATTTAGTAAGTGGTTAATCCTGTTTGTGCTGCAGTAGGCACTGTTGGTTGCCTCCTCAATTTGATTCCTCTTTCTACTTCCTATCAGATCCTGACTTTGTTCATGTAGCCACCCTCTATCTTTGCAGCTTTTTTGATTCAAGGGAAGCTCACCCCATCCCCAGCTCAAAGAGAAGTCATGATTGTTCTAAATTAGTCATGGCAGTTCCATTCTCTTTACCAGTGATTGGTTAAGGGCTCCAGCATAAGCCAGTCAGCACATGGCTTTCCCCTTATCAATGCCTTAGATCCAGAGATGGGTACAGGACCTAAGTCAGGCCAATTGAGGGAACAAAAGGACATTCATCCCATGACTGAAGGACATCCTTTTACTGGACATGACCAAATAGACATGTTATTTGTTTATTTGCTTGTTTGTTCAGTAGTTTGGTTTGACAACCTACTTGTAACATGGGAGAATAGAGTCTAAGGATAAAGAAAAGGAAAGCAAAGCCAAGAGGAGAGCAGAGAAAGGGATCCTGATGATGTAATGCTTGGAGCCCACACCACCTCTGAGCTTCCTGTTATGTGAGATAATATATTCTTGTATCATTTAATATAGCTGTAGTTGGTTTTTAGTTTACTTAAAGCCAAAAGTATCCTTGTATCACTCACTGATTTGAAATGCCATCTTTATAATACCATATAATATGCTAAATTCTTTATTTTAAAATTATTGAACTCGCCTATCCCATTCTGTTTCATTCTGTGACATTCCACTGATGTATTTGTCTTTCTGTACCAGCATCACAGCACATCATTTAAATTATCATAGAGTTTCAATTTGCTTTCACAAATTGTGGGTCGAGTCCACTCTCAGTTCTCTTCACTGGACAAATTATTTCTTAAAATCATTTTATTATTAAAATTACACTGGGATTATGATTGGGGGATTCTATTATATCATTTAGTTATTTGGTACCAATTAACATTTTTAAAAGATCAAATCTTCCAATCCAGAAACATACACTGTTACTCTAAAAAGTTCATCTTCAGTTTGTAATCCCTAATTAAAGTGTTTAGTTTTCTTCATAGAGATCACATACATTTCTTTTTCATCCTATTACTAGGTAGCAAGCATTATTGTGAATATGATACTTTTTCCTACGCCATCAGATATTGCTGAGATAGCATAAATTGGTTTCCCCTAATGTGATTGCAATGAAAATATCCATGAGATTTTTCATTAAAAATGACAAATGACTCTATAATTCATACAGAAGAGCAAAGAACTGAAAATAGCTAAGACAATTTTGAAGAATAGTAACGATATTTGGAAGATGATGGTACCAGATGACAAGATTTTAAAAGTTGTAGTAATTAAAATACTGTGATAAGACACAGGAATAGATAAACTGACCCACAAAAACAGAACAGAGGGCCTAGAACATGACCTTGAATAGGTGGAAAATTTAGAAATGATAGAGGTGGCACTGCAGGTCAATGAATGGTGATAAGGCAGTTTGTTTTCCACATGAACAAAAATGAAATTGGGTCCTTACAGCATACACACAAAACCAAAATCAATAAAGCAAAACTAATCTTTTGATTATGATTTTTTGGATTTGTGCTTATAAATGAGATTAGCCCAGAGTTTTCCCATTTCATACTCATTGTCTAGCTTGATATCAGGTTTATATCAGCCTCATAAAATGAACTGGGGGGTGATCCCTCATTTTATATTCTCTGAAAAAGTTTAAGTTTGAAATGAAATGTTTCTTGATTGTGTACTCACAGGTTTTTCTTGTAAGTAGATCTTGCTGGTAAAACCATCTGGACCAGGTGGGACTCGTGTGTGTGTGTGTGTGTGTGTGTGTATTCATCCATACACATTCATACATACATGTTCATAGTGTGTAGGTATGATTATTGTCTTCATTCACAAATGAGGAAACCAAGGCTTAGAGAGATTAGGTGACCTGCCCAAGGTCACACAGCTGGGAAGTGGTAGTTTGGTATTGGAACTCCCCAGTCTGGCATTCTGTGTCCAGAGCCCTCTCTTTCATCAAGTACCTGAGTTTCAGATTTTAAATACTGATTGTTTTTACTTAATGGTTATAGGGGTTCTTAAGTTGGGTTTAGTAAAACCAACACCTGGGACAGTGATTTGGGCTCCTGTGTTGTATCAAGGGGGTGATCTTCAGGAAAAACCTCTAAGGAAGGTAGGGAAGCAGGATTGAGAAGAGGGAAAGGCCCAGAAAGAGGTGATTTCAGGTAAGGTCTAGCTTTGGCTGGATTCCCAGAGGAGGAGTGTAGAGAGAATGCATCTAGCTGCAGAATTGTCCCTCTTTAGTGCAAGGGGGCTCCCATTTTTATTCTTGCTTTAGTCAGTCATAGACTGTGGGCTGAGGAGAAGATGCTATTTTTTTCTGACCCAGATTTAGGGTAATTCTTGGGAGAAGGGGGAAGCTGTAAAAACTAAGCAGTTAACAGAGCAGCTGGGGATGAGTGAGCTATCTGGTAAAGGGAATCTGTACCGGGCACCCAAACAGCATCTACCACTCCTAGCTATTCGGGTTTTATATTTCTTCCTGAGTCAGATTTGAAAGGATACATTATTTTAAGCAATTATCCATTGTTTCTAAGTTAATACATGTTTTGGAATAAAATTATTTACATATTATTTTGAGCAGCATTGTTGAGGTATAATTGACATACAATAATGTGCATATAATGTAAAATTTGATCCTTTTGACGTATGTATACACTGTGAACCATCATCACAATTAAGATAATGACTATTTTCATATTTTTCTTTTTTCTTTTGAATTCATTTTACTTTAAGTTTTGGGATACATGTTTGGAACATGCAGGTTTGTTTCATAGGTATACATGTGCCAGGGGTGGCTTGCTGCACCTATTGACCTGTCCTCTAAGTTCACTCCCCTCATCCCCTACCCCCCAACAGGCCCTGGTGTGTGTTGTTCCCCTCTCTGTGTCCATGTGTTCTCACTGATGTTGAACATTTTCATTGTCACCAAAAGTCTGCACATCCCCTTTGAATCTTATCCCCAGTACCTACTTATTTGCTTCTTGTCACTTCATATTAACTTGCATTTTCTAGAGTTTTATATAAGTGAAATTCTATAGCATGTACTCTGTTGCATCTGGCCCTTTCACTTACCATAATCATTTAGAGATTCACCCATGCGGTTTCATGTATCCCTAGTTCATTCCTTTTTATTGCTGAGCAGTATCACGTTGTAACACAATTTGTTTATCCACTCACTTTCTGATGATCAGTTGGGTTGTTTCCAGTTTGGGGATTTTACAAATAAAGTTGCTACAATTCATATGTAAGTTTCTGTACAGATATATGCTTCCTTTTTCTTTTCTTTTTGTAAATACTTACGAGTGGGATGGCTGAATCAAATGGTAGATATTAGTTTTTTAAGAAACTACAAAATTGTTTTCCAAAATGATTGTATCATTTTACATTCCTACCAGCAGTGTATGAGAGTTCCAGTTTCTTCATATCTTTACCAGCACTTGCTATAGTCATTTTAATTTGAACTATTCTTCTAGGTGTGTAGTAGTATCTCATTATGATTTTAATTTTGATTTTTTAATGACTAATAATGTTGAGTATCTTTTCATGTGCTTCTTGACATCCATATATCTTTGAGGAAGTGTCTGTTCAAATCTTTTGCTCATTTAAACAATTATGCTATTTGTTTTCCTATTGTTGAGTTTTGGGAGTTCATTATATCTTTTGGATCACCCTTTAACCGTGTACGCTTTGCAAAGATTTTGTTCCAGTTTGTGGTTTGTCCTTTTATTCTCTTAACATAATCTTTTAAAAAGCAAAATTTTTGAATTTTAAAAAATCTATCAATTTGTTCTTTTACACAGATTGTGTTTTTGGTGTCTTATCTAAGAAATATTTGCCTAATTCAAGGTCATAAATATTTTGTCAATTTTTCTTCTAGAAGCTTTATAGCTTTTAGTTTTACATTTAGGTCTATGATCCATTTGGATTGATATTTGTATGTGGTGTGAGATACGGGTCCAAGTTCATCTGTTTTGCATATATGTATCTAATTTTCCTGGCATTATTTGTTGAATGAGTTGTCTTTTGTGTCTTTGTGAAGAACCAGTTGTACACATATGTTTGTTTTATTTATGCAGGTATTTTTCTAGAAATTAAAAAATTGATTATAAAATTCACTTGGAAATGCAAAGGATCTACAATAGCCAATACAGCTTTAAAAAAGCATGGAGTTGGAGGACTAGCTCTACATGATTTCAAGATTTATTATAAAGCTACAGTAATCAAGACAGTGTGGTATTGGCATAAAGATAGACACATAGATCAATGAATAGATTAGAGAGACCAGAAGTTAACTCATACATATACGGACAATGGAATTTTAATCAGCAATAAAAAGGAATGAACTATTGGCATCTGCTACAACATGGATGAATCTTAAAACAACTATGCAAAGATTAAAGAGTCATACTAAAAAAAAGTGCTATATGATTCCATTTATGCAGAATTCTAGAACATGCTAACTATTGTATAGTGATAGAAAGCTGATCAATGGTTTCAGGAACAGAGGCCAAGGATGTGGAGCAACAGAAGAAGGGATTACAAAAGAACGAGAAAGCTTTTGCAGGAAATAGATTTGTTTATTTCATGCTTGAGATGATGGCTGCACAGGTGTATGTGAAAACTTACCTAATTGTACACTTCAAATATATACAAGGTATTGTATGTCAAATTAGCCTCAATTTTTACCAAAGCACCATAAGGAATTCCCATGAAACAGTAGGAAGAATCAAAGAATGATTATAAAAAGGGAGAGGGGAGGGCATCATAGGCTGTAAGAGGAGAGAGATGTTTTGTAGAGAGTGTGAGTGGGATGGGGTTCCCAAATGGAACTGGCAGATCCTTCTGGACATATAAATAACACAAGCACAGCCATGGCGTTGGAGATGACCATGGTTGCCATAGCATGTGGGGCTCAAATGGAGACTGGACCTTGTAGAATAGAGATGATGGCTGGGATGAGTTGAAATGGTCAGGGTGAGAGGGGATGTGCTGCTTCTGTGAAGGCAGGAGTTTGAATTTAATGTAGTAAGTGATGGTAACAGTTTCTGAGCAGGAAAGTGAAATGATGAGCCCTCAACATACTCCTTAAGGCTCTGGTTTTTGTCCACTCTCCCTGTGAGACTGTAAAAGTGAAAATTCAAAAATGTTCAGGATTGGCCAATGCCCTCATGGGAAAAGTAACTTTTGAGCATGCTTCTCTTTCTAGATTATTGTTTTCCTTTCAATTTTGGCTGGGTAATTCTTTACTCTCTTGCCAGCTTTTTGATGCCTCCCAGAAAACATTTTTAAAGTTGTATTTTTAGTTGTTTTCAGGGGAAATTTACGTTCAAATAATCTAACTTGTCTTTACCAGAAACTGCAAGTCTTTGTTATGTTTTTATTATTACTCATTTTACTGTGATATGGCAAACAGAACCAGTATTCACCACCATTCAGTTTTCCTCTCCTTCTGGACACATGGAAGGCAAATCTCATTCACCTTAGGATTTAGCAGGGCCATGAGATCAATTCAAGATGATGGGCTATGAGTGAAAGTAATGTGTGTGCCTCTTCTGAGCTGATGCATTTAATTGCTGTTATGAGATCTTCTCACATTCTCTTCCCCTGTTGCTGTGATGGAGGAGATGTGTGTTTCAGGTGAAACAATTTCAAGATTATAGGGATCTCTGTTAGTCAGGTTCCCTGAATGACTACATGGAAGAGTTATCTGCCTTTGAACTTTTGAAAAACATAGAATGGATAAGAAATAAACTTTTGCTGAGCCCCGAGATTTGGGGGTTGATTTTTACTGCAGAATATCTTTTCCTCACTAATACATAGACCATGTGAGGCTACTCTTCCTTTCCTTCCCTTCCCTTCCTCCCTTCCATTCTTTCTCTCTTCCTTCTTCCCTTCCTTCCTTCTTCTTGTTTTTCTTTTAAATTGAAGAAAAGAAGCCTAAGCTCACTGTTTGAAATTATTAAAAGTCTTAATAATTGGAAGAAGAAAACCTTCGTATCAATTCACCCAATTCCCAACCTCAGCCTCTATTTTAAAGTTTCAGACCCGGACTCCCAGACAAGGACAGAATGTCAAAACATTAATGCCAAGGTTTTGGGTCTTGAATTTCATTCTCTTTCCATTCCATCATGTTGCAGTTAAGAAAATAAGTTATATGATGTTTCTTTTTTGTTTTTCTCTTTTTAAGAGCAGAAGAAATTATATTTATTTATATAGAAACAAAGACCCAATGGGGTAAGAAGAATTTTGAATTTTAGCACGAGGAAAATATAACTCATGCATGGTGAGTAGGCACATGGATTATTCTCTTCCTATATTTAAGATATTAATGTTTCTTTACCTCACACTCAAGAGAGAATATGAGTCATTTCCACGAATCCAGCATAACGTGTGAATTGCAAAGAGCTTTTCAATTTTTAAAGATCATTCTGTAGTCATTTAGTCACAATATTTTCCTGTCCAAAGCTTAAAAATTGAAGAGTTCTTTTTCTTTTTCAAATTTAAATTTGTTTGTTTAATTCACATAAAATTATGTGTATTTGAAGTATACAATATAATGTTTTAAAATATGCATACATTATAGAAAGGCTACATTGAGGTAATTAACATATATATTACTGCATATATCATTTTTTGTGACAAGAACACTTAAAAGGTACTCTCAGTGATTTTCTTTTATTATTATTATTATTATTATACTTTCAGTTCTAGGGTACATGTGCACAATGTGCAGGTTTGTTACATATGTATACTTGTGCCATGTTGGTGTGCTGCAGCCATCAACTCGTCAGCACCCATGAACTCGTCATTTACATCAGGTATAACTCCCAGTGCAATCCCTCCCCCCTGCCCCCTCCCCATGATAGGCCCCGGTGTGTGATGTTCCCCTTCGCGAGTCCAAGTGATCTCATTGTTCAGTTCCCACCTATGAGTGAGAATATGCGGTGTTTGGTTTTCTGTTCTTGTGATAGTTTGCTGAGAATGATGGTTTCCAGCTGCATCCATGTCCCTACAAAGGACACAAACTCATCCTTTTTTATGGCTGCATAGTATTCCATGGTGTATATGTGCCACATTTTCTTAATCCAGTCTGTCCAGCCTTTATCCAGTCTTTAAGTTTAAGAACACTTAAAAGGTACTCTCAGTGATTTTCAAGTATAGACTACATTATTAACCACAGATGCCATGTTGTACAATAGATTTCTTGAATTTATTCCTCTTATCTAACTGAAATTTTGTAATCCTTGGCCATTTCCCCAAGCCCCTCACCCCCTAGCCCCTGGTAACCACCACTGTACTCTCTGCTTCTACCTCTCTAGACACCCCCCCTCCAAGATTCAGATACAAGGGCATCCAGTTGGCAGAGCCTGGGTTCCATGTCCACACACCTTGGGACCCAGAAGCAGAGGGAGAAGGACTGTCTGCCCCTCTTTGGCTCTGTGATGAGAGGGAGAGTTTCCCACCTAGTTTGGGATTTCCCCATAGGAAAGATAGTTAAATGCTTGACAGCCACAAAAACAGTTGTTCTGGGGAAGTTGGTGAGTCTCAGGAGGGCAGTGTGTGTCACCTTTCCTTGATTGGTTTGTTCAGGGAAAAACTGGTATTGGTTATAGCTCCATGGCAATGTTAAGTAGTTTGCAAAGTTTCCATTTGCTTTAGTCAATCCACATGGTGATTGTACTGCTTTTTTCCTTCACCATCAATTACCTGCATGATGCACGCATAAACTCTGCTTTTGTTTCAACATCCTAATAGCATGCTAGGGAGTGCTCCTGTTGGATGAAGCAATGATAAAGTTCTGCTTTAGGGCACAGATAGGTCCACCTTATACTGCCCATCTCATCATAACACATGTAACTTATAATGTTTTCAATTCATGATAGGTTTATTCAGATGTAACCCCATTGTAAGCCAAGGAAGATCTGTACATATTTAGAGAAGTAAAACATAAATGTTCAGTTAATGAAAGTCAGAATGTGAACATTCATGAGTCTCTCTTGGGTGCCACTTCTGGACTTCTGCATTCTCCTTTCCCTGAGACAAAAGCACTATTTGGGCGTTTATATATATCCAATTCTTGTCCTTTTATTTCTTTTTCTTGCCTAACCTTTCCTGCTAGAATTTCTGGGACAATGTTAAATAGCAGTTGTGATAGCAGGCATTTATGTCTTATTACCGAGTTTGAAGGAAAGGACTTCAATGTTTATCATTAATCATGATGTCTGCTCTAAATTTGTTACATTTTATGACATTAAGGAAGTTGTCTATTATTGCTGTTTTGCTAAGAGTTTTTATCACAAATGATGTTGAATTTGTCACGTTTTTTTTTCTGCATCTGTTAAGATCCTCATTTTTATTTACTGTTTTATTTTTTATTTACTATTTTTTGTGTGTTTCTTTTATTTACTGTTTTAAAAGGCCTTCACAGAAGTCACCCCAGGACTAAAGTGGATAGAACACATTTTTGTTTTTTCTTTCAAGTTATCCTACCTTTAGTACCATATATCATTCAATATTTGCCATATATCATGCAATATCAAGGTTGGAAGGAACCTTAGAGGTCATACACCACTATAATCTGTCACCCAGGTTCATGAATCATCTCTGTTGTTGCTAAGTGGTTGGTTGTTCACCTGTATCTGTTCAAATATTTTCAGGGATGAAAAATGTACTATCCTTATCCATTCTATTTTTGGAAATCTCTAGTTCCAGCAAGTCATTTATTGTGTGAGCTGAAATGTGCCTCAGTGTCAGATTCATGCTTTGGTCCAAGGTTTGCCCTATGGAACATGTAGGACAAGTGTTCCCTGAGGTATGGGTAGAAGCAGTGTGTTTAGTGGAAAGCTGGTAGTCTTCAGAATTAAGCAGATCTGGGTTCACTTCCTGGCTTAGCCATTGACAAGCTAAGTGAGTCTGGGTGGTATGGAAGATGGCTTAACAGCCATCACTCCTTCCATTCCAGGATGTTCCTCCTTTGCAGTATGACTTTGCAACTCCTCTAATCCAGAGGTAGATTCCATTTTTCCACCTCCTTGAATCTGAGCTGGCCTTTGAACTTGCTTTGGTCAACAGAATGTGAAGAAAGTCATACTGGAAAAGGTCTGAAGCTTAGGTCTCTGGGGCCTTGCTGCTTCTGCCTAGTTCCTCTTGGGATGCTGCCCTGAGCCTGCCATATAAGGAAGTAATCTAGCCTATTAGATGTGAGAGGATACTTGGAGGAGAACTGAGATGTCCCAGCCAACAGTCTGCATGCTCTGAGTTGAGCTACTTGGAAGTCAACTCCTGCCCTGAACTTATGCAGGTGTTTTCTTAGAATTCAAATGTAAGACTTAACATTTAATCCAGAGGAATTTATTTTGATTTTTAAAGATGGGGTCTCCCTCCGTCGTCCATGCTGGAATACAGTAGTGCAATCACAGTTCACTGTAGCCTCACACACCTGGTGTTAAGCAATCCTCCCACCTCAGCATCCCAAGTAGCTGGGACTACAGGCCCACACCACCATGCCTGGTTAATTTTTGTTTGTTTTTGTAGAAACGAGGTCTCACTATGTTGCCCAGGCTGGATTCGAACTCCTGGCTTCAAGCAATCCTCCCACCTCAGCCTCCCCAAATGTTGGGATACAGGCATGAGCCATGGTGCCCAGCCCAAAATTTCTTTTTTTTAGTCTTAGCAGAGCACTCCACCTGTGCCAAGGCAATCGTGGTTTTTGTTTGTTTGTTTTTGAGACAGAGTCTTGCTCTGTCACCAGGCTGCAACCTCCACCTCCTGGGTTCAAGCAATTCCCCTGCCTCAGCCTCCCGAGTAGCTAGGACTACAGGCATGCGCCACCACGCCCAGGTAATTTTTGTATTTTTAGTAGAGATCGAGTTTCACCGTATTGGCCAGGATGGTCTCGATTTCTTGACCTCGTGATCCGCCCGCCTCAGCTTCCCAAAGTGCTGGGATTACAGGCGTGAGTCACTGCACCGGGCCAATGGAGGTCTTATATCTGTCATTTGTTTCTCCCCTTAGTGCATCTACATCAGATGATTATTACTTCCATGTTTTCTATCAGTTCCTAAAAAAACAATGTGAAATAGGACAGTGCCAGGGAAGGAACCTTAAGGGACACTAAACACCTCTTCCATGCCTGTCACTGAGCCAGTCAATATTATTAACTATGTTATGCATGCATGTTATTTCCAAGCCTACAGATTGCTTTCACACATCAGCATGCTCACCCATGGTGAAATGTGTCCAGCGGAGATCTATATGGGCAGTAACATTCTTTCCTGAAATCAAGATATACCACGTCTAGTAATGCTCTCCTGAATAAATTATTTATTGAGTATCGATATCACAATCTATGTCTTTTCTCTTTGTTTATTGGATCACAGTGAATATAAAACTATACCCATAGTTACGATTATACAAAAGAATCTTAAGTCACTGGTCATGGGTAAGACAGTAAACCAATGTATGTGCTTTCAGAGCTTTTAAGAAGTTAAAGTGCAAAAATGACAGTTTTGTGCAAAAAGAATTTTCAGCGAGTCCTGACAGTCAAAATATACCTGAAGTCGCTGCGAGACTTTACTTGGGTTTTCATGAGATCGTTTGTGTGTGAACACGCTCGTGTTTTTCCCAGTGCAGGTGTAAGGATGGGCCTATACTTACTCTTCCCACCCCATCCCCCACCCCCTTCACACAGTCTCACCTTGGGAAGGGTATGGGAATGAAGAAAGGAGTGTTAATCGGGTTCCCAGCTTTCCCTTACCTTTCACCTAGCCCCCTAACTACTGTGGGTGTTAGGTTTGGGCACACCCATTTCAAAACAAGGATACTGGTTCTTGAGGGAAGTGTGAGACTGAAGTTACAGAGCCTGTTAAAAGCAGAGCCATATAGAGGGAGTAAAACCCCAAGTGCTTCGTGCCGCAGCAGCTGGGGGGTGGACCTGGGCCTACCTGGGGGGATGCTCAGCCCTGCGGGTCCGGGAGCGCGCAGAACAGTGGACAGGGCTTCTCCCACTTCTGGGTAGGGGCGCGCTGGGTGGAGGCCCGCCTACCCTCCGCCTAGACCCATCCTCCGAGCGAGCCGGGAGAGGCGGGGAGAAGGCGTGTCCCCTGGCCCAGCGCGACCAGCGCGCACGCGCAGCCGGCAGAAGGGGCCCGGGCCCACTCTGAGCGCGCGGCTGCGCACTGTGCCGCCTGCCCTCCCGGAAGCGCGGAGCTCGGCCAGCGCCACGTCTATCCCCTTACATACTCCCAGGGCTCCGCAGCCGCCGCCCCAGCCTCGAGGGGCACAGCCCCCGAGCCGCGGCCCTCGGGACGGGACCGAGAGCATCATGGGCAGCGCAGCCCCGCTCTCCGCCTCCGTGCTGCTCCTGCTGCTGCTCCTTCTCCTGCTCCGGGCCGAGCAGCCCCGAGGGGCCGAGCTCACCTTCGAGCTGCCTGACAACGCCAAGCAGTGCTTCCACGAGGAGGTGGAGCAGGGCGTGAAGTTCTCCCTGGATTACCAGGTGAGGCCGGGCGCCCGGCAGCGCTCCCTTCTCTCTCCACTCCCAGGTCTCAACTGGACACTGGCGCGCCCCTGACTGGAGGCGCTCGAATTAGCCACAGAGGCTGTAGGGAGGGTGCATGGGTTGGGAGTCCCCGGACACCAGTTGACTTCCCCGTGAGGAGGAAGGTTTTGGATCATTAGGGCCCACCCGAGACGAGCCTGGCCAGCGAGGAGATAGCGCCGCTGGTGCGAACCCGGGATGGGGACGCCAGGGCGGGTCCCGCAGCCTGGAGAACTGGCCAGAGAGATCTCTGCAGGCGCCCGAGACACTAACGAACGCCAGCTCTGATCGGCTGGACAGAGGCACTCTAACCCCAGTCTTTTGGACCGCCTTGTGCCTTCGAGTACTGAAAAATGGCAGCGAGAGGAAGTGGGTTCATAGTTTTATTTTATTCCTCCCCTCTCCAGCGTTTAAAGTTCGGGTGAGGTGAGGGCAGCAGAAGTGAGAATGGGCGCTTTGGAAAGGAGGGATCACTGCAGCCATTGAGGCCTGGCGGTGTTTACAAGGAGTGGTGTGGCTGCATGACTTGGCTCTTGCCATATGGCTTAGAAAAGCTCAGTTCCTGTACTCCTGTCTCCTTTGAGAGAACCCGTGGCCCACAGGTGACAGGAGCAGGTCTTGAGTGAGTAGTCTGCCCCCGATATTTAGTGAGCAGGTCTAGGGTTGGGGGCCAAGTGGGCATCGTACTCAGACAGCTATCTGCTTGTGGACTCATGCTGACAGGCACTTCAGAAATGAGGTGCCACGGGCAGCAGGAATGGGGCAAGCTATTTGACCAGTTCCTCTGTGCTTAAAGGTACTGAAGGAAGCTTGCGCTTGGAGACAACTTATGTGTGGCAGTCTCAGTCACTGATTTGTCCACTTTCACATCTGTGTGGACAACATGCAAATTGTGACTGGATTAACATGGGCAACCTAGATGCATTGACAAAAAGAATGATAGTTGTGTGGTTGCAGAGACCTCAGATGTCATGTGTTCACTGCCAGGGCGGAAATCCCTTGTCAAAGTGTGCCCAGCCTGGGTTTAAACACACTCAGCAACAGGATGCTCACTGCTTTACGCAAAGCTTGCTGAGCAGGACTAGTAACTGTTGTCTGGACAAAGAGGCCATTTAAATTTGGAAGCAGATGGAGGCCATTGACCGTGTCCTTTGATGGATCTTGGTTATAGCCATTGCCTACCTGTGAGATTTTGCCTTATGTGGGTCTTATTTTTCTTATGTTACAAGGAGAGTTTGAACTAAATGATTCCCAAAGACTCTTCCACCGCTGACACTCAGAAATTCCGTGAATGCCTCGATCAATATTTTTCTTCTCCTTGCATTCAATCAGTAATAATATATTGTTAATAGCTAGTAGACCCATTCAGCAAGCCAAGAATGACCCTTGCTGGGGGAGAGGGAGCACCTGTCTGTTATTGGAAGGGAGAAGCAGGAGGTGCAGCATGCATGCTCTAGGGTGGCCCCAAATCAGACCCCACATCTCCACTGCACCCCCAGGGGGTTTGCAGTCTGACAGTTGTCCAGTAATTGGCTGGCACTTTTTGGGCGCTTTCTTTATGTTGGACACTGTGCTAAGCACTTTAGGTATGATAACTTATTGAATCCTCACTTCATGGATAAAGACATGTCCTCAGAGAGTAAAGTAACTTGTTTAGGGTCACATGGCTAATGAGTGGCAGTGCCCTAAAGCAGTGATTTGCTGCATATCTTGTGTTAAGTATTGAACAAAGAAAGAATCAGTGGCATCTAGCTGCATTGGAATAGTTTCTTAGATATCCCTCCTCATCTTGCTCTTGATTTCTGGAAGCCTTATCAGTACCATCTCACGAAGAGCAGTTATCCTGGGGTATGCTTATTCATGCTTCAGAATAGTGCAGTAGGTAAGCGTTTGGGCACTGGAACCAAAAGCTCTCAGGTCAGATCTCAGCTCTACTTTATCTTGTGTAACCTTAGGCAGTTACTTAACGTTGGAGCCTCAGTTTCTTCTTCTGTAAAATGGAAACGATTAGGCTCATTGAACCCCTGCAGAACAATCTTTGGAGTCAGACAGGCATAGATTCAAATCTTAGCCCTTTCACTTTCAAGCAGTGTGACCACAGCCAATTTATTTAACCTTGCTCAGCCTCAGTAAAGTAAGAAGTGGCATAGCACCTGCCTTAGAAAGTTTTGAAGATGAAATGACAGAAATGTTTGTAGAGTCTGATCACAGTGTCTGGTTGGCATTTGGTAAGTGGTGATTGCCCCTTTGATAACAGCAAACTTCTTATGGTTGTCAGGTCATCACTGGAGGCCACTACGATGTTGACTGCTATGTGGAGGACCCCCAGGGGAACACCATCTACAGAGAAACCAAGAAGCAGTACGACAGCTTCACATACCGGGCCGAGGTCAAGGGCGTTTATCAGTTTTGCTTCAGTAATGAGTTTTCCACCTTCTCTCACAAGACCGTCTACTTTGACTTTCAAGTGGGTGATGAGCCTCCCATTCTCCCAGACATGGGGAACAGGGTCACGGCTCTCACCCAGGTGAGTGAACATTAGCAGTTTGGGGCTGCTGAACCCCCTAGCGCGTTCCTCCTCATTGACCTCTGTCTAGGCTGGTGGTCGGAGTCATCATCCATCCAGTTCCCAGTCTGGAAGTCTCAGGGTTGGTTTTGCCTCTTTCTTCACACCTAGTCCTAAAGGATGCCATGCTCTTCTTTCAATCTTCCTTTCGATTCTCTAACCAGATCCCTGCAGTACTTTCTTCTGATATTCCTGTCTCTACTCTTTCATTCCCACTCAGTCTTTTGCACAGTGCCACTTCTGAAGTACCTGTGTCGTGTGTCTCTGCTTATATGATGTGCCTGTATCATGAAGACCAAAGTCCTACTTTGTGTGATGTATTCAAGTAACACAAGGTACTGTTACAAAATAAATGCCAAACATCAATGGCTTAACAGAATAGAAGTTTATTCTCACGCATAATCTAGAAAAGGTTGGTGAGGAGCTTTCCTCCATGGTGTGACTCAGGAATCCAGGCTTATTCTTTCTTGTCATCTTTCTGTCTTCTCTTAGGGCTTCAGGGTCTTCTGCCTGTAGCTGCCAAAGGAGGAGAAAATGAGAAAAGTCCATCTACTTCTTAAAAGCCCATGCCCAGTGGGAATACATATCACCTGCTCATGCCCCATGGGTGAGAACTTAGTCATGTGGCAAACCTGGATGAAAGGAAGGCTGGCAAGTAGAGCCTTAGCAACAGCTCTACACTACAGAGGAGAAACTCTGACATTTTGGGGGGATAGTCATGTCTGTCGCCCATGGCTGTCAAGGTTCATTATTCTATTATCCCAGCCTCCGTAATCCGTCTGTCTTCCCTTCTGCTATTTAAGCTCCTCTTTCCCTTTCATATGCAGGCTGGCTTCCTGAGGGCTAGGACCCTGAATGGTTTACTTTTGTATCCTCAGTGCTCCAGGGCATAAGGTGGGGCACAGGAAGAAGCTCACCAAACACTTGTCAAATGACTGTCAGGGCCCAGGGAAACCTGTAAGACAGGAATAACCATCGGTAGCTGCACGTGTGCCAGAACCAAAAGCACAGCGTCTTGAACTTTCAGGGAGGCCAGATGATCTGGGCCGCACTCCAAGGTGGCTCCGTTCCTCTGTGGCTCTGGGCGCACTCATGAATGCCTGTGGATTCATTTGCCCAGTCTTCCACCTTCCCTACGCAGTTGGAGGCTAGAGCTGCACTGTTCAGTACAGTAGCCAGTGTCTAAATTTGGCTATTTAAATTAATTGCTATTAAATTAAAAATTCACTTCCTCATCTGCACCATAGCAACATTCCAGGTTCTCAGTAGTCACAGGTGACTGGTGGCCATGCACAGAAAGTTCCATTGTCCAGAACTGGGTTTGAGCTTTGAGCTTGGCAACATGACTGCTGTTAGAAGATCCAGCCAAGGGTGTGTACTGTGTGTAAGATCTTTTGCAACCAATACTCATGAGAGTTTTATTGGCCACTATTGAAACAGCCTCTATTCGGAAGATTCTGTAAGTCTCCAAAAGCTGAGCTGAAGAACTTCCCCCTTAACCAGTAGAAAACAGATTGGTAGGAAAAGCTTTAATGAATTAGGTCAATAGAGACATTCTTTCCTGGAGCCTGAGCAGTAGTTTGATTTTGTTGCAGGAAAGGGTGATTTATGCTTCCCTTTTCTTCTATCTTAGAACCTCTTCTTTGCTCCTGCTTAGCCTCAGAAGAGCCGTTTCCTTCCACTTCTCTGACCCTGCTTCCTTGAACCATCTGTGCCTGCCTTTGAGAATACTTGCTTTTATGCCGGCATTCACTCAGTTTACACACTGTGCCGGCAGTGGATGGCTCTGTGCCTGTGCTGGGCGCCCTGCAAGGAGCACAGCCCTGCAAGCCAGTTGGCCGTGGGGCACTGTGGTCAGAGCTGTAACTGAAGTGCCAGGGGTCTTGAGGAGGCACTGATGAATTCTTCCAGGAGTCAGGAAGGCTTCACTGGGAGAGCTTTACCTTAAACTTGACAGTGTAGAAGCTTGGCCTCCTCGATGAAGAGAGCAGGTGACATTTATGGAGTGTAACTTTCTTTCTTCTCGCC